TTTTTTTAAAATCAATTTATTAATAGTTTTAGTTTAGTTTAGAAAATGGAACAGCTGAGATGTCCCATGTTGTTTCAAAACGTTGTTATGTAAAGATACTAATTTCATCACAAAAGTTTTGCGAGTTTCTGCTAGTAAAAGCATAATATTTTAATCAAACATTGATTATTAACGTCAGAATTATTACGTTTCTAGCAAATATTCTGGTCAATTTGAGTGACAGAATTTGCAATAGTACTGTTGTTTTCAGAAACATTTGACAGCATCACCTGGCACTATTTTTGTTCTGCAAAAAATGTCCATGCTAAAAAATTAAACAATACTTCCATAAAAAAAGCTATCAGTAAAATAGCTTATGCAGTGAATTGGGAGATATTTCAAGTCTTATATTAGTCATAAAAATTGACATTGTTTTATAGTGATTTTTTATGTGTTGAAGATTTTTTTGTAACATACTTAAAACTTCTTTATGACTTAAAATGGTAATCATACATGTAAAATCGATTGTACTTTAGGTAACGGTTTCTATGTGGCTTTCTTTCTTTCGTTCTCAATGTTGTATAGGCAGTAATTTCAAATGAGTTTAAGTAAAAGAGAAAAAGCTTGATAAGTGTATAAATGAAACGGGTTGGGTTTAAAATTTTATTATTATTAATATTTTTTAATCATTTTAATTTAGTTTTGAGGATGGAACAGCAGAGATGGACCAATAGGTCCCATGTTGTCCCAAAATATTATGTTATGTTAATTGGGTGAACTTCAAAAAGATGTTACTTGACCTAAGTGACACTCCCATGTGTTTGTGTATGTGGATGAGAAAATGTCATTTAGTTTTTCCAATATAGGTGACCTTGCTTTCACCACATATGTACTTAGTGCATAAGCAAAGAGAGATAGGAAGACAATCCTTTGTCTGGAAGAGATTTTTTTTTATCTTAAGGACAATTTGAAAATAATGTTAAGTTTGACCTGTGGGTGTAAATTTTTTTACCTTGTTGTCCTAGGTAGGGATGGTCAATGAAACTGGACATTTATTGACTGTGAAAATTTTTATGAGAGTTTTAAATATTTTTTGGTCAGTTTTCAATCATTTTCTTAGGATATAAATCATACAATAGTATTTCTGGAGAAAAATAATCTCAGAATGTAAAATAAGTTGAACAATCTTAAATGCTCAAGTCAGTATAAATGTTGCTAAATTGATCTTTTATCTTAATGAGTTTATTGTCATGGGTTCTTTCTTATTTGTTAATGAGTTAAAAAACCTACATCCTCCTAATGACTGTTTTATTATCAGTTTTGATGTAACTTCTTTATTCACAAACATTCCATTGGATGAGACCATAGACAGTCGCTTATAAAAATTATTTTGAAAGGAATTTCTTGTATATGGCTTAACTGCAGAACAATTTAGATCTTTAATCACCCATGATGTAAAAAAAACAACCATTTTATATTTACAATTTAATGTAAGAGTACATGAACAAATTGATGAACAACATTAATTAACACTTTTCTGAGCCACTGCAAACAATCTTGGTTGAACAACTGCTCCTAAAACCAATATTTTGCGAATGTTAGAATGCTACACTGATGACACTTTCGTCAATAATCAATCAAAAGATGAAGCTCAAGATTTCTTTAAGTACTTTAATTCACAAAAATCACCTATACAGTTTACCTGCTATATTGAATAACAGAATTCTTTACCTTTTTCTACATTTTCTAATTACTCGAGATGTTCAAAGTTTTTCAAGTCAATATAACAAAAGAAAACATTCACAGGACAATTCATCCACTTTGATAGTTTTATTCCTATAAGATGTTAGATCAAACTAGCAACATGTTACTAACTCAAGGTTTTAAGATTTTTTCAGCTTATATTATTTTACATTCTGAAATTATTTTTCTCCAGAAGTTATAATTTTCCTATACTGAAAATATATTTTTGATAGGTAGTTACCTCCTCTCACATAAATAGCTAAGTTAAGTGCTGCCCTCTATATGCAAAAATGTTTTTTGCATGCCACAAGCCTTGAGCTTCTACGTTCCTTACCATCAAATGGTTCAACTGCATCTTGAATATAAATCATCATGCGACAACCCTCCACAAACAGGAGTGCAACACATCCTTCTGACACATGTGTCTCCCTCTATTCTATTCTACCAAACTATCACTTCAAGTTTTGGAAGAAAATGGAAGCACCAGTTTTCATTGGGGAGAAAGGGTGAGTGGAGTTAAGTAAATATTTTCAGTATAAGAAAATTATAGGTTCCAATATGGTACATCACCTATTCTCACATAAAATTGGTTTTGGATTCTAGTTGACTTGCCACTGGTATGATCGTCTTTCCCGCCTCCACATGTATGTTGTTTCCTGGTGGCTGGGTTTTATATCGTAGTTGACTTACCGACTGTATGATCTTCATTCTACCCCTGCATGAATTTCAGTTCCCAGTGGCTGGGTTTTGAATGCAGTTGACTTGCCATGTACGGTCCGTCATGCCCAAGCCACTATACACCTAGGGGCACATCCTTTTACTCTCACCCACATTAATATACACTATGGGATTGAGATTCTGATATATTGTGGTTTGGATCTCTATCCAACCATTCTTTTCACTTGTTTGGATGTGCTTTTCCCAATTTCTGCCCATGTCTGCGACACCTCTTTACACACTGGGTGAAAAGTATACCTGGAACAGAAGTGGCGCAGTATCCCATGTATGATTCTCTAATGTGGTGATCTACTTTTTTAGGGAGTGTCCTTGGGATGCTTCTTTCTTTCCACTCACACCAGTCCCTCCACCAATTCTTCAGTGGGCTCTGCATGACTAGTGAAATTTTGTGCGGGATCCATTAGAGGCTGCTATTTCTTTTCTTCCTTCCCTTGTTGGTGATCTGCATTAGTGGTTGGACAGGGCCCACATATCGGCAGGTATTCCGCTTCCTCTCCCTCGTCTGGATGTGCATATCTGTACAAAGGCTTCCCTTCAGGCTTGAAGGGCATTGGTCAATCAGCAGGAAGTGATCTCTGGCCAAAAGATCTTACCATATCAACATCCTGGAGCTTCTGGCCGTACGTCATGCTTTGCCCAGGAATTGTCTAGTCATGATCCATTACGACAATTCAATGGTGCTGGCTTATATCAATCACCAAGACAGGACCTGTTCTCATTCCCTTTGTGGATGAACCAAAGATCTTTTTTGGACCCACGTGCTTGGTATTCGTCTCTTTGTGTGCCATGTTCTGGGTGCATTCAGTCTTGTTGTGGATCATCTTTCCCATCCCAACAAAGTTTATCTGATGGAATGGTCTCTCGATCCTCTTGTTTTCCATTGGCTATGCCTTCAGTGAGGTACTCCTCACCTAGATGCTTTTGCTACATCCTTCAATACCAAGTTACCTATGTTTTGGACTCTGGTTCCTCATCCACTTGCTCTGACTGTTGATGCATTCAGTCAAGATTTGACTAACAAATACCTGTATGTTTATCTTCCCATTCGTCTTATTCCTGGGGTGATTTCGATCATCCATGCCACTCTGAGTCAAGTCCTTCTGATTGCTCCTTACTGACTGGCATATCCATGGTTTCTGCAGCTTCTCCAAGTACAATCTGCCCCTCTGTTACCTCTTTCTCTTACTCCATCCCTTCTACATTAACCTCAGTCACCATTCATATCCTCCATCTTTAAACCTGGTTTTTATCTGGTCCCTAGTGAGGAGTTTCGGTTTGTTCTGGGGGGAGGGTCACATCTTTTTTGCTTGTTCCAATCGCTCTTCCTCTCGGGATGTTTATCAACGTAAGTGGAACATTTTCCACTCTTGGTCTGTGGGTTAAGGGTTTTCCGCTGCTTGATCAACTATTACTCATCTTACAGATTTCCTTATTTGGCTAATTTGTCAGGCATCTTGTCTTCTTAATTGCAGGATATTGGGCTGCCTTTTCCCACAATTTTCGTTTTTCCAGGTACCATAAAGTTTTTACTTCTCTTACTCTTTCTCTATCCCTTCTGGATTCATTGTCCACCTTGACATGGAGTCCTTCCAGATCTGTAGCCATTTTTCAGACTTCGGTGAGACTGTGCCTGGGTAAGTTATCTTTGGTATATATATATATATATTTATTCTTTTTGAAGGGCTTTTCCCATTCTTTTTTTTTACTCTATGGATCCCATTCTGGACCTTACTCACCCATGGACTTCATGGGTAAAGCAAAGTTCCAAGCTGCTGCTGGTGGAGCATGGAGGCATCCTCCTGAATGTGATAATGATAGACAATACATATAATGATAAAACTTTTCAGTTGAGAGTAGGGTGGTGGTGTACTGCTGATATAGATGACAAGATGGCCTCCAGTCTGATGTTTCATCTCTGTATGGGTTTATCTGAGGGTATGTGGTAACTTTGGGTGAGCTGTTAAAATTGCAGTTCACCCCTTCGATTGGGATCCCTCATCCTACCCCCACAAGGATGTCTGTTCCCAGTGGTTGGGTTTTGGATTCAGAGCTGAACCAATCAATAAGTCCTCACATGTCTTATAGGTATCTCTATTTCCTCACTCAATTATACTGTTGTTCCTCCTGTGGGTCACAGTGGTGGTACTCGCTGATTAATACGGTTCTTCCTCGTACACTATCCCTCAATGATTTTATTATACCAAGGATGTTACTGCACTTAGGGCAGTTCCTGAATGAGATACTTTACATTACAGAGACATCTTTACTATACCGATCATCTGGATGTTGGGTTCCTGGATCAGTCAAACAATATATCACATTGATATTGTGCATCCTGTTCATAATCGGGGGGTAAGGTTATGAGATTCCCTCTGGTCTGTTGAACTTGAGGTGAAGACGATATGATACTTTTCCCTACCCCCACCAGATAACGAGACCACATATGTGCTTGAACCAACGGGATAAGGGTTTCCATAGGAGACCACATCCCCAAAAGCAATAGAACCTCATGAGCTGTAAGAGAGTGTAGTAAGGGCATTGAGAACTAAAAACTCAATTGAATGAAGTTGAAGAGGAAAAGGTTGGGCCTGACTGAAGGGTGTTGAAAAAGAGACCCAAGTGGACAAGATATTGAGTAGGTATAAGGTAAGCATTCATGATGTCTACCTTGTTCATCCACAAACTTGGAGAAAAAGCTCACCTGAGGGTGATAAAAGGCTCCATGGTAAATTGGTCACAGGGCACCAGTCCCCAGTTTTCTTGGGTACCACAAACAACTTGGAATAAAAACCTGGAGAAGTATGAGTGAAGGGTTCAATGACATTCTAGGAGAGATGATCTTGTACTACCTTGGACAGACATTGACTGGTGATAGGATCCTGAGGCAATGGAAAGGACACGGGTACCTGAGACAATGGAGGAGGGGAAAAAATGTGGATTGCAAGACCCTCAGATAATACCTGAATAACTCACAGATCTGTGA